CCGGTACGGGGGCAACACTGAGGGTTGCGATCCGTTGCCGGACATGGAAAAAAGATAAAAAAAAAATAATAATAATAATAATAATAATAATAAAATAAAATACATGTTTTCGGCAGAAAAGGAGGAATTGGTAAAAGGACACGAAAATCAACTACATTGTGCATTGATAAATTTAAAAATTAATTAATTTGTTGTCTTTTTAGAGGAAGATACAAATATTGATAACCTTAAGAAATAAATAAGGATTTATAAATACGGGTATGGTTCTTGAGTTAAGGGCATCTAACACAGTAACAGAAATAGAATGCCTAAACTAGCAAAACAAAATATGATCTAGCCCGCAGAAAGTAAAAAAAAAATAAAAAGAGAGTGGTCTAAATTTTAAAATATGAAATAAAATAGCAGTTAAATAAAATAAATAAAATGGGTTACATAAGCTTACTAAAAGATACTATCAGATTAGACTAAAAAACAAAAGCAAAATATGTTTTCTACAAGATACACTTAAAACAAAAACTTACAAAAGGTTGAAAATAAAAAGATGGAAAAATATACCAGGCAAGTAGGAATCATAAGAAAGCTGGGATAGCAATCTTAATATCTGACAAAACTTAATGTAAACATATGTATTATATGTGTATATATATATANAAAAAAAAAGAAATGTCACCTACAGTTTTTCCTCATTTTCATACTATTTTTAAATTTAAGACACTCAAGGAAGTACTAAAGAATTGACTTGCACAATTCTGGATGACATTGGACAAGAAGGCTTTAGATAATTTTGAAGTGCTTGGTTGCTATTTTGGCTATACATAATGATTATAAGTAATTACCATTCCCATTGAATCAGGAATTTGCAGTATTTTGAAAGAGTAAAAATTAATGTTAATCTGCAGAAAATTTACAAGCCAAGATGTATATAAACATATACCATTGCATAAATAATTCTGTATTCATTATTTTATTTTTATTTATATATTCTTGATATACTCTTCTGTATAATTGTTAGTTGTAATGTAGACTGTATAACCTATGTTCATTAATCGATTCCGTACAGTGATTAACAACACATCAGGAAGAAAGATACACTGTGTGTAGTGAGGCTGATTTGGTGATTATGCTGTAAAATTAATTCGCTTGTGAAAAATTATACATTTCCTTCCTTTTGTACAACTAAATTTTTTCAATCTTTTTTAAGGAAATCCTTTGAAACCGAGTGGTACTTTTTTCTCTTTGACTTTTCCTAAATTCACNCATTTTTAAATGAAATGTGATATTTTGATATAGGTATACATTGTCAAATGATTAAATCAAGTTAATTAACATATCCATCACCTCACATATTTGCCACTTTTTGTAGTGAGAACATTTAAAATCTACTCTTTTAGCAAGTTTCAAGTATACAATAGATTATTATCTACAGTCACCATGCTGTAAAATTGATCTCCGGGACTTATTCCTCTCTAGACAGTATTTCTTAGGTAAAACAGCAAGAGCACTTAACCACATGAGCCTCTTTCCAACATAACCATTGAAATACAGGTTCTTTCCTATTGGGAAGCTTTACTAATTATTGACTTGCACACACAGAGAAACTAATAAAATTTCCTTTAAATATTTAAAGTGATGCAATAAAGTTTCTTTTTTCTCTTTTAACATGTATTTTGTAATGAAAAAAATAGCTAAACTCACATTTTCCATGGTAATATCATTTGAGGTATTCATCAGATTCACACTTTTGTCAACAGCTACAATCCCAACTATTGAGTCAGGCTGTGTCACAGAGATCCTAAGAGAGACTTTCTCAGAAGGTTCGGCATTAGCTTTACTCCAAAATAGCTTTATCTAAGAAAGGGAGAAAACAGTATAGATTTATTTCACTTTTTAAAGGCATTATTTACATGTCACACCAAGAGCAGATCAATGACTCAAAATCTATCAAAAATTCTACACTTGCCTTGGCTCTGAGAAATCCAAAACCATATGTAACAATTCTCTAGGGAAAGGAGAATAAAAAAAAAAACTTTACTCCTACAGTGTTTGCAAGTCATGGAACACCTCAGAATGTTATATGCCTGAGTTTCCTTTGCTTCTCTATCTTTCCTCTTCTGTTTCTCCATCC